CTACTCTTCCCAGGTGGGAACTGGTGAAGAAACTACACTCACACAGGAAGGGGTGATTTTTTTTTTCAGTTGCTTTACAAGTTGGTCCTAATCAAAAAAAAAATGTATTTCCACATATTTTCCACATTTCTGATCTTTTAATAGAAAGTAACCTGAATTTATATGACCTCTAAATGTTTTCAGGAAATTAAGTAAAAATTTATAGTTATCTAAAACCAAATGATATAATTATCCAAAATACTGCCTTGAATTGAACCCTAATCTATGTGAATCCAGAGTTGAATGGGAAACAGGCTATACCTGCATCCTAATCCTTATACATTTACTGTATGTCATGAACTTCTAGTTACTCCCAGGAAAAAGAATAACTAAGTTTACTCATCATATTTCATCACCCTTTCTTAGAAATTATTTCCTCCTGGCTTCCCCATACAAAACTGTGACAATTTCAGGAAGACTCCCTACTAATTATTATATGTGACTTCCAAAGATATGCATGAACTGAGATGCAATTACCAGTCATTCTATTCACAATGGGAGATGGGATAGTGGGGAGCTGTTCCTCTTTCTCATCTCCCTGACTTTACACCCTAACAGTGTGGAAGAACATACTACTTATTAACATATTTCTATTTTCCCCTGAGAATCTTCCGCTTTCCTCAATTTAAAAAATTACAAAGAGATTCACTGACAGAAAAACCTTAAAATTTTTGAAATTATTTTTGTTAATGTCTTTTGGTTTTTCTATTTCTTACACATCCTTAGATCCTCTCTTGCAAGCCACTGTGTGCATCAAAGAATTTTAAAAAGAAAAAAAAGAGACTAATTCAGCAAAACCAAAAAACATCAACTATCTTGATTTATATACACATGAAGTGTCTCTCACCTGTACAAAGAAGGGAAGATATATATTTTTTTCCACTCTTCTCCACGGCCAAGCTTGGTCATTATAATTACACAATATTCAGTTGACATTTTCATTCTTTTCATTTACATTGTTTAAGTCATTGTATATATGGTTTTTCTGGTTCTTCTTACTTCATCGAGACCATAAGATATAGACTGTATAGTATAAGGAATATTTAATTTAGAGTCCAAGAACTTGGGTTCAAATCCTGGCTTGGTCACTTACTACATTGGAAAAGTCACTTCACCTCTCTGTGACTCAATTTCCTTAACTGTAAAATGAAGGGTGACCTGGATGACCCCAAAGGGCTCTTCCAGCTCTAAATCTATTATCCTATATGTCTTCTTTGAATTCATATGTCTTACAATGCCATAATAAATACTCCACCACATTCACGTAACACGAGTTGTTTAGCCATTTCCAACTGATGGGCATCTACTTTATTTCCACTTTTATATTACCACAGAAGTGCAACTATGAGTATTTTGGTACATTTGAGACCTGTTTGCACTTCACTGTACATGCTATTTCTTGTCAAAATACTTCCTAAAATATGGCACCCAGAATTGAATCCAATACTTCAAAAATACTGAAGCAACTATCACCTCCGTGGTTCAGATAACAGTGCTTTTTCAATGTAGTCTAGATCAGATTAGTATTTTTGGTTGCTGTCACATAGCTGATTGCTTTTAAGTTTCCAATCTGCTAATCTCTCCATGCCCATTGTTTTTTTCATATGAAGTATTTTTAACCACAGCTTCTTTATGAGGTTGATTTTTTGAACCCAAACAAGACTTAATATTTAACTCTATTAAATTTGATCTTATTAGATTCAGTTCCTTATTCTTAGCCTAATATATTTTTGTATCCTAATTCTGTTTTCCAACATCCTTGCCAAGTTTGATAAGGATGTCATCTAATGCCTATACTTTTAAATCACTTATAAAAAATTTTAAAACAACAGGAACAATGACAGGTGGGGGGGGAGGGGGTGTCTTGATAGAGACCTCTCTCTAAGCTGACATAATTCAATTCAGTTTTGGCTATTTAATTATTATATTATTAGAACATGTTAGCAGAAGAGCTAAGTTAATTAACAAACTATTCTTTTGTTTCTAAAATGATACAAAAGTTTATAAAAACCAACTTAGTTCCCCAAGTTATTCTCTATGCAGCATATGTATTTACAATATTAAAGTTCAAGCTTTTTAAAAGACAGGTGATAAATCTGAGACAATTGCTTAATTATACAAGCTGAGTGGAATGTTGGGAGATGATTAAAGCAATCTTAAGGCTACCATTTAAGGGATTAATTTGATAGTTTCCAGCTTTATCATAACAATTAAACCTGTATTATCTGGAAAATTGCATACTTGCATTAAAAATATAATTGCAGTAATGACTTTAATGCAAAAGATTTCCAATGAAATTAATTACTCAGTAACACTGTCATCATTTAAAGTTCTTCACATATATCTTATATAATGTGGTACTTTCTGAAAGATCATAACATGCCATAAAGATTTAAGGCAGAAGAGAGTTTCCTCTTTAAGCCCTGAAGTGTGGATACTTCTGGGTGGTATTAGAGAGAGACAATTATTGGCAATACAAGCCTTAAAGTTTGTAGCAGGAAGTGAAGTCCAATTTATGAAATGTAAGTTTCAGACTCATGTAATCAGGCAAAACACCAAGAATTGCAATAAACCAAGTTTGTTGGCTTTTTTTTTCCCACAGAAAGGGCTACTGAACCTGCAAGTTCATATAGGATAAGAAACAGGACCTCAGGTGCAGCTAAGTGGTGCAGTGAATACAGCACTGGCCCATAAGTCAGAAGGACCTGAGTTCAAATCCGGCCTCAGACCAAACACTTGACACTTACTAGCTGTGTGACCCTGGGCAAGTCACTTAACCCCAAATGCCTAGCAAAAAAAAACAAAACAAGAAACAAGACCTCAGACCTCTCAGTTACATCAGTGAATAGTGGTAATGTAAACAAGAGGCATCAAATCTTTTTTGAAGGGAGGTGGGCTTGAAGTAATTCAATGCAATTCCACTGCCTTTATTAAATTCAACAAACATTTATTAAGTGCCATTTTCTCTTAGATTGTTCCAGATATATGAACCAGTGAGCCTATCACAGTAAGAGATCTGATACAAAGATGCAAAAAACAACATAGTCCCTGTTGTCTAGAAGGGTATAATCTAGCAGGGGTGATATGATATGTAAAGGGAGAAGAATAACAAAAGCTACACTATAATAGGAGCAAAGGACAGACAGACATAAATCACTTTCATTTGGGGGGAGGTTTGATCAAAGAAGGTGGTACCTGAGTTGAGTCCTGATCAAAGCAATTTCATGTAGTCCAAACCCCTTATTTTACAGATGAGTATCCTGAGCTCCAGAGAAGTTAAGTGACTTCCAAGGTCACATACATAGTATTGCAGAGTGAGGATTTAAATTCAGGGCCTGTGACTTGAAGGTTTTCCACTCCATATTTCAACAAGCCCATGGCAGGTCAGAGTGAATTGAGGCCAGGTGGGGCAAGGAAAGATTTAAAAAAAAAATTGATGTGAAAGACTGCAGGAAAGGGTCAGAGTGTATGAATAGGGAGTAAGTGAAATAATGTTGGAAGGGTAGGTTGGAGCCAGATTGTAAAGGGCCTTCAAAGCTAGACAGAGGAATGGGTAATGGGAAGCTACTGAAGAATTCTGAGCCAAGAGAATATCAAAAGCAGACCGCTAATTAGAAGATATATTTGATAGCAGAGTGAAGGATTCAGTGGAGGATTGAGGAAGGAAAGCAGCACCATAAACTGGAAAGAAAAATAGGATGAAAAGTTCCCCGGATTTAGGGTCGAATTCTGGCTCCCTTTCTATACTACCTGTGTGGGACGGGACAGGTCACTCTGGGACTGTTTCTTTATGTATATAAAATGAGCTGGTTGGTCACTAGATGATTTCTAAGGTCTCTTCCGGTTCTAAATCCTATGAGTTCAGGAGGCTATCAGAATAGTTCAGAAGCAGTAAAGAGAGGCCTGAGGCAGAGTAGAAGCTGGGTAAGAAAAGAAAGGACAGATGGGAAAGAAGTCGTGGAAGTAATCTACAGCACTTGGCAAGTCATTGCATGGGGAAGGAAGTAAAAGGGAAGAATCAATTACTAGGTTTCCAGCCTAGGAAGAAACATGGTGTCACCAACAAAAACTGGAGTGATGGAAGGAGGAAGGAAGTACGTACTTCATTTTTGTATTAGTAATAGTCTAAGATCTTACCTTGTTTTCCCCTAGGTCCTTAAAACAACTTTATCACTTGACAAATTAAATCGTTTTTACTTCCTAGGTTCTGAGTACCCACAACCCTCCACCTCCAATTCAGTAGAAGGTAATATCAAACGCTACAGGATTTCAGACTTACAAAAGAGACCTTGAGAAAATTTGGTTCAATCCCCTCAGTTTACAGATTATTAAACTGAGTCATAAATAAATGAAGTGACTTGCCTAAAGTCGCACAGTAAATGGCAAAAAAGCGGGACCTCACCACGACGATCACGTCTTTAAGAATAATAATCTCCCTTCAAAATTCTTCTACCATTTGGTGCGTCACTTTCACACAGTTGGCCTCCAGTTCAATAGTTCTCTTTCTGCCAACAATTCTTTGACCACACTTCGGGGAAGTTTTGGGAGAGCAGCCCTTTTCCTACCGAAGCGCATGCCAAACTTGACCCGGGAGAGTTCTGGAGGGTCACACCCTTCCAGGAAAACTAGGGCTTGCGGGCGATCATGCCTACAGCTCTCCAAGCCCTCCATGAGAGCGCAACAAAACTTCGCCTTAGGTAAGGTGCTTCCCCGGCAGACCCAGTCTCACCTAAATGCGCAAAGCCCGAGGGTATTCACTCCTCCCGGTGAAACTGAACCCTGTCTCTTTAAGCTCTCTGAACTGATGTGCAGACAGAGCTACCTGTTTGTCCCCGCTTGCCTCCTCCTTCTCCTCCTTTTCCCCCCTCCCCTGAGTTTCAGGTGAATGGGTCACGGGAGGAGGCGGCGCCACACCTGCTCCTTCCCGCCCCCTCCCCTTCCCCTTTCCTTCCCTTCCTTCTTCCTTTTGCAGTATTAGCAGCGAAGGTCCCCGGAGCCTCGCGCGTTTCTGGAGAAGACTGGGTCACAGGTGGGAACTGCGTTGTGGACGAAAAGGGCTGGCTGGGCTACAGCCCGGGGGAACCCCAGTTTAGGATCTGGTGCTGCGCATGCCCGGGGGCTGGGTGAGGGGAGTAGGAGGCGGTGGCCACAGCCAAGCCCATTCTCCCGCCGCCTGCTCGCGTGAAGAGGATCCAGGACGAGCCGGAGTCAGGTGCGCAGAAGGCTAGTGAGCTCGCTCTCCTAGTGCGCCCCTACTGCGCGCGGCGCGGGGACAGTAAGTAGGGGACGGGAAGGGATCTTCCATGCGCTTCTCCCTCTCGGAGGCTGGAGGGACTGAACCTGCTTCCCCGGGGGAGCTCGGTCGGCGGAAAAAGGGGGGGGGCACTTCGGCGCCTAGGCTTCAGTCCTGAACTAAGACTCCACGGAGGAGAAGATCGGGGTCGGGGATTGGAGTTGCTGAAGAGGCTGGGGGCTTGAAAAGGAGAGGGGCGGGGATGGCGGGAGAGTCTCTGGGAGGAGGAGGGCAGGGGAGCGGGAGCCCCCACCGGGAGCTAACTTGGCCCCCTGCGGGGCTCTGAGGGTGTTTTGAGTGTGTATGTATATATCTGTGTGTGTGTGTGTGTGTGTGTGTGTGTGTGTGGTGTGTGTAAAACCTGCTGCCTGCTCTCTTAGGCTGAAATATTTAAAGCCACTCCCAGTCTTTCAGCGAAAACTTTTCACTTTTCCTGGATTGTTGTGGTTTTGTTGCAACAATAAGTCTCGTTTGGAAGTCTTCGCAGGAAGAAGAAACCCAAGCTGCGCTTTTTCGGGGCCGCATAACCAAGGGTCTACTATCCAACGGGGTGCAGTGTAGGACTTTTGAGGAGCAGGGGTGAGTTGCGGGGGGTAGGTGTCCGAGTCTCTTTCTAGACGAAACCTGCGGAAAGGAGACCGGGAGGGTTTGCAGAACTTAAATAAGATCCTGGACGCTTGTCTGGTTTTTGTTTTGAGGAAGTGCAAACCCTGGGCTCTCAGCTGTAGTAAGTGGAGGTGGTGGCCCGAGTATAACTACACCTAGAATAGCTTCGCCCCCAGTTCAATGTTACGGAAACATGGAATTAGGATATTGATTAGTAATTGAATGTTTGGGATCGTTGCAGTTCCTTGCTACTGAAGCCCAACGTGGTTATAGTTTGATTTTAATTTGTGTGAAAGGAGTTTTACTACATGTTTTCATGCAGTTAGTTGATCACTTGGGTGTAGATACTGTGTCCTCAGTACCTGACTCATAGTAAACGCTTAATTTAAAGCCTGATTGCCTGGGGAGAGTAGAGGGAACATATGTGGGTGTGACTTGGGAATCTTTACTCTGCCACTTATTACCGAGATGATTTTCTATTAGACACCTTTTCTTTTATCTTATTTGTACAAACGGTTAAGATTACGTTAGTTTCTATTACCGAGATAGAGCTTCTAAAACAGATGAAAGGATGACTAGTCTTAGAAACGTCCATATTCTGATCTTTGACCAACTTTCACAAGTAGGTTGGTTAGATTTGCCAAGAAGAGCTTTTTATGTGACTTCTAAGGCAGGGCCCTAAATCAACCATCAGACATGTTGTCTTTCAGAGGAAGTTTGGAGAAAAGGGTTGAGGGGCTAAGTACTACCCAAAATGGCCTCTTCATTCACATAGCAATCCTCTTATTCTCAGTTAAATGGTCTTATAGGTAAATGTCCTTGCATAAAATGATCTATGAGGACGGAAAAGAAATTTTCTCGGCTAATACGGGCTCACTCACTCATTAAGGGATAATAACTGAAATTTTTGGGAAACAGGATATTTCTGCTTTAAGCTGATTGGCGAAGTTCCCCCCTATCTTCAGACAGTCTTCAAGGATTTATTGTTTACTGTGTGTTCGGCACGGTGCAACGTTCTAGGGATACAAAGAAAAGCATTGACACTGCACCTATTCTCTGGAAGCTCACATTTTAATGAAGACCATGCAAACTAGTCTACTTACAAGATAGACAGATAGATAGATAAATAGATAGAAAGAAAATGAGTGTTAGTATCAGAGGAAAGGCATTAGCAGTGGAGGAATCGGGAAAGACTTCTTGCCAAACACTTTGGGGCTTTTAAATCTCAAGATTGAGCAATAGTTTAGCTCTACCAGAAATCTGCAAATCTGAGATACTCATAAGCGTGATACTGAGATGATTCTTCTAAACTGAAATCGAATTGATATAGAAATACCTGTATTAGTAGAAACTTAGGCCCTAAATGTAGCTTGTGTAAAACTTGAGTGTTAATAACTTGACTTATGATCTGTGTTAATTATTTCAGCGTATTCACATGTATTTTTCTTTTTTCTTTTTTTTCAATTTGGAGGTGTAGCCAATATTCAGTAGTGGTTTATATGCATACATAGACCTCTGTGGTATATGGTGTTTTCACTGTGATTTTCACAGATTTGAATCACCATTTAAAAACATTAGTCAAAAAAAAACCCACCAAACCCTAAGCATTTAGAGACTGCCATAATTTATGGCAGAATTCACTCACTGATCGCCCAACAAGCATTTATTGAGCACCTACTATGTGTCAGGAACCTAGGGATACAAAGGGAAAAAACAGTCACTCCTCTGTAGGAGCTCACAATTCTAATGGGGGAGACAAATGCAAATGACTGTATACTTGTAAGAGATAGATAGGTCAATCAATATGGTATAAAAGACAATCTTATAGGGGAAGGCACTAGTTGCTGAGGGCAAAGGAAAAGGCCTTCTGCAAAAGGTGACAGTTTTATTAAGTCTGGAAAACCAAGAGATAGAAGTGAATAGGGAGAGCATTCCAGGCCTGAGAGACATTCTGTGCAAAGGTAGAAATGGGAGATAGGTGTGTCCTGTTATGACTGGATTGTAGAGTATGTGGAGGGGACAGAAGTCTTAAGAAGTTTGGGAAGTTAGAGAAGGGGCTAAGTAGTGAAGAGCTTTAAATACCTGGGGACTTTATATTTGACTCTAGAAGTAATGGGGAGGTACTGGAGTTTATTAATAGAGTGCCAGACACCTACACTTTAGGAAAGTCATTTTGACAACTGAGTGAAAAAATGAATTGGAGTGTAGAGAAATGGAAAGCAGGGATAGCAATGGCAAGGCAATTACTGTAGTCTAGGTGGGAGGTGATGAGGGCTTGAACTAGGAAGAGGGTGGAAACTATGGGTGTGAAGGTTGAAGCAAGATGGGGCAGTCAATTGGATATGTAGGATGACTGAGAAGTAGAAGTTGAAAATAACAAGCCTTTGAGCTGGAGGGATGATTAGGGAAGGCAGAAGAGCTGAAATGATCCCATAGGTTAAAACAGTTGGAAAAGTACTCTTTTCAAGCAGGAACCCTTTTCCTTAAATAAACAAAACAGATTTAAATAAATAAATCCTTAAATAACTCTGTATCTATATTAAATACCGTCTTAAATTCAGCCCACTCTTCTAGCCTGACTCCATCATCTAGGGTTTTAGCTATCCCTCCTAGCTTTGTGTTATCTATAAATTTGGTAAGTTTATTTATCAAATTCCCTTCAAGTCATTGATAAAAATATTAGCTATCACAGAGCTGAGCACATACTTGACAGTCCATTGGAGATGTAACATCAGACCATTCATTTACTACTCCTTGAATTCAGCTCTTCAGCCTGTTCCATCTAATTGTACTCCTGTTTAGCCTGTATCTCTCCATTTTTCCATAAAGAATAGTGTGACATGGTTTATCAAATGCTTTGCTGAAATCTAGGTAAATTCTATCAAAAGCATGCGCAGATCTACCAGTTTAGCAACTGTGTCAAAAAAAAATGTTGGTCTAGCCCATTCTGGACAAAGCAACACAGGCCTTTAATGAACATGTCTTCCCTTTCTAGATGGTGACTAACCAATTCTCTATTAATATGTTCTGCAATTTTCCTAGGAATTAAAATCAAACTCATTATTAACCTCTAGTTTAGAGATTCCATTCTTCCTCTCTTGTTTTGTTTTATTTTTTTAATTGGGACCACGTTTGTGCTTCTCTGTGGTGCCTCTCCTTTTCTCTGAGTTTTCAAATATTGGCAGCAGTGATTCAGCTATCCCATAGGCAGGTTGTTTCAGAACCAAGAATGTAGGTCATCTGGACCATATGACTTGAAATCATAAAAGGCAGCCAGATACTTTTTCTTTCTTTTTTTCTTTTTTTTTTTTTTAGGCAATTGGGGTTAAGTGACTTGCCCAAGGTCACACAGCTAGTATGTGTCAAGTGTTTGGTCTGAGGCCGGATTTGAACTCAGGTCCTCCTGACTTCAGGGCCGGTGCTCTATCCCCTTCGCCACCTAGCTGCCCCTCAGATACTTTTTCTTATCTCTTTAGATCAGCTATCAAAGAGATCTTCCTAAAGCCCAGGTCTGACCATCTTAATCTTCCTCCCGATTCAGTAAATTTCTATGCTTCTCTATTACTTCCAGAATCAAACAAAACAAAAAACCCAAAATCTTCCATTTCATTTTTAAAACCCTTTCACCACCTGGCCCCTTCTTACCTTTCAGGCTTCTTCCGTTTTACTCTCTTCCCATGTACTATTTGACCCAGTGACACTGGCCTCCTTGCTATTCCTTGCACAAGACATTACAATCTCTCAACTCCACCTGTTTTCTTTCTTTCTTTCTTTTTTTTTAATGATGCCCATGTTAAATAGATTTTTATTCTTCAAGACAAGAATTGCATCTCCACTTGTCTGCCATACTGATAAAGTACAATATTCTTGACTTCTCTCCATCTGTACACATTCAGAATGTACATTCAGCATTCAGAATGCCCAGGTTTGCACAGTAGCTCAAATGTTAAACTGCCATTTTACTACAGATTGAGTCTTTCCATTTTAAAAAAGCTGTGTGAAATGCTGTCTCTTCTGGTACATTTAGTCAGCTTCCTGAGTGGTGGATCCAGGAGGCGGAGCAGCTCTCTCTATGTAGACTCTTCTTCACCTGAATGATGGGGGCAGCTAGGTGGTGCCATAGTGCATAGAGAGCTAGATCTGGAGCCAGGAAGACCTGAGTTCAAAGTCAGCCTTAGACACTAGCTTGAGCAACCCTGTTTGCCTTGGTTTCTTCATCTGGAAAATGAGTTGGAGAAGGAAATGGCAAACCACTCCAGTATCTTTGCCAAGAAAACCCCAAATGGGGTCATGAAGAGTCAGACGTGAAACAAAACTATCTGAGTATCCACTGAGTATGCCTCCTCCTCGTGGCATGCTGTCTGAACTCTAGTATAGCTTTGTTGTGATAGGGTGATAGGGTTGCAGACATTTTCAAATTCTGTCTTGCTGGTGCTCAAATTCTTCCTCCTTAGCGTTCAGGTTTTTATTGAGCCAGTTGATTATTTCATTACAGTTGTCACCATTCTTCTCTTTGTCTTCATCACTAGTCATGACTTGGAGTTTCTCACCCTCCATCATAGTTTTCTTGTTGAATGCATTTAAGCAATCCACCTCCCTGTTCAGAAAACTCCAATGGCTCCGTATTACCTCCAGGATCAAAAAACAAAAACCCTTCAGTTTTACTTTTTATGCCATGTACTGTGTTTCTCTACTTCTCATCTTCACCCTTGTATTCCTCAGCTTTCTTGACCATATATGCTCACCATCTTCTTTGCTCAGGTGATCTTTGTCATTGATGATAATGCTCTTATCCTTAGCAGATACATGGAGGATGCCATTTGCATAAATGTCAAAGATTATTTCAATCAGAAACACCTTTAGGGGCAGGGAAATTCCTGTGAGCTTGACTCACCTAGTGAGTTGTATCCTTTGTCATTGTTCTCTCTGAATTAGCACACCAGGCTAGTGTAAAAGTCAGTGTCTGCTTAGGATTGGTGGCATTGACATACTGCAGTTATTAAAGTGGCAAATGCTACAAATTGGGACTTGACTCATTGTTTTCTTTGTTGCCTGGACTTAAGAAAGTCATCAAGGAAATGTTAATATGTAGATCAAACTTAAAAATATGTTGTGAGCATATTCTTTTTTTTTTTCCCATGAAGAGCTAGTTGTTAATCATTTACCAGCACACCCTGATGGTGGTATTCTGTTTCTGCCAGTAGTTTCAAAACTGAGGAGAAGAATTACATCCAACTACAACCAGTCCTGGACAGCTGCCCTGTAAACACCAGCCTTATCAGGATGGATTCTCATTTAGCTCTTTGCCCTTGAAGATGTTCAGTAGAAGTTTCTGAATCTTGGAAGTGTGAGTGGAACCACTCAGTAACATGATGTCGTAGATCTATGACTTAGCTGCCTTGGCATCCCTTACAGCTTTTTCCAGTGTGCTATGGAAGAATTCAATATCTGAAAATGGGCACAGGTGATAGAAGCATAGAAGTAGATACCTTCACAGAGAGAGTCAATCTCAATATTGGCCTTGATAAGAGAGGAAAGGATATATTTTGCAAGTTTACAGTGTCATCTTGTTCTCATTGATTTCGTTCTTACACTGGCACTTGGACTTAGCAATGAAATGGTCGACCATGTGGTTGTCACAGGCCTCCCTACCCAAGTGGGTGTCCCCAACTGTGAACTTGACTTCAAAGATCTTATTTTCAATGGTAGTAATTGAGGCATTGAAAGACCTTCACAATAGGGGCAGCTAGGTGGCACAGTGGATAGAGCACTGGCCCTGAAATTAGGAGGGCCTGAGTTCAAATGCAGCCTCAGACCAAACACTTGACACTTACTAGTAGTGTGACCCTGGACAATTACTTACAATCACTTAACCCCAATTGCCTTTAAAAAAAAAAAAAAAAGACCTTCACAAGGCAAAGATCAACACATTTCTCTTGGCTCAACCTTTTTACTCTAGATATAAGCTATAGCAGCAGCAGTTAGCTCCCTGATGAATGATTTAGAAAACTTGGAGACCAGTGACAGTTCCGTGTCTTTGGTGACCTGACGTTGGGAATCATTGATGTAGGCTCTGAGAGACCAGTGATAGTTCCATGTCTTTGGTGACCTGACATTGGGAATCATTGATGTAGGCTCTGAGGCTAGAGCTCTATTTGCTGTACCACCTAGCTGCCCCCAATTCTCATTCTTATAACTACATTTGCTCTTTCCTGTTCTTCTGCCTCCTATACTAGCTCTTCTTTCTCCAGACCCCAGCTTTGTTCTTTTTGCACTTTTTCCATGGGAGAACTTTATTTTCATGCTTCTCTCTTATCCTGGTTGCTACTCAAATCTTCCTACCTTAAGTCCATATACTCATCTGTCTTTTGGACATTTCCACTTGAATGCCTTGCCATCGCCTTAAATTGAATGTCTAAAATTAAACTCATTCCCTCCAACCAAGCAATTTTTTTCCCCTTCTATTTACTTGGGTTCTGTCAGTGACACTATCATTCTCCCAGTCACTTGTGCTGAAAGCCTCATTGTCATCTTTGATTTAAACTTTTCATCCTTTGTACCCAGCTAGGGCCAAAATCCTACAAATTTTTTTTTTCCAAAGAATTTTTTTGTAGCTATCCCTTCCCATTGCTAGCACTTTGTTCTCCATGCACCTTGGACCTTTTAGCACTTCAGCCTGAGTGCAGCAGGCTCTTGTCCCTGTATCCAAGGTCTTTCGATCCTAATTTCAGTGCTTTCATATCAGGCTGATCTTCCTTAATTACTACTTTCCTTATGCCCTTCGCTTGCTCAAAAACCTTTCATGTTTCTTTATTTCCTGTTGCATCATATTTGACTTCCTTTTCCTGACTTTTTGGCTCTTCCTCCCTGTCCAGCTTTACTTTCTGCTGTTTCCAATATGCATCCTTGCCACTTTCAGGTTAGTCTCTCTTGCCCCACAAACAAATCATACCTTCAGTTTCTCCTGCCAGGAATATTTTCTCTCCCTGAGGTCTAACTAAATCTTCCCCAGTTTTTTAGGCTGAGCCACCATTTTATTTTTTTCACGAAGCCTTCCCTGGTGACTCTAAACTTCATTTACCTGGTCTTGTGATTTCCCAGAACCTTTAGAATCTGTATCATGACATTCAAATATTTAATTATTTACTTACTGCTTTCTGGTTTTTCTAATAGTTCTTAGTGAATCTAAGTCATCCTCCAAGTGGTTTGGGTTGTTGGGCTTATTGAACATTGACTGGTCTACAGTTGCTCTGGTTCTTGCTTCTCTACCTAGACTTAGAATTCTTGAAAAAGAGACCACTCTTCTGGGATGTTGTAGAAAGGATTCGTTGTTCCTTTTTTTTTTTTTTTAATCAGGTCATTTCATTTGCTTAGAAAAAAAATCCTTTTACTGTCGATTATGCTGTAGAGATTTTTAAGATTAAGTTAAGCAATCTTTAAAGGAGTATGTATTTTTGAAAGAAGTGATTTTGTAAAAAAAAAAATACATGCGTAAAACTGCATTTTATCTATTGGAAGTTTTCAAATTTTTATTGAATTTTCTTGCTCATTTTTCTTCCATTTTCTTTCACTAACAGCAAAATATGAAACAATGCTCACATTTTCAAATACAATGTGAGTTATTTGAGAATAAGGGATCTTGGGATTCTTTGTTTCCACAGTGCCTAGCTTATTGGCACTTAATGCTTGTTGATGGATTGAAGGTCCCACCCCTGTCCCAACTTATGGCAAAATGGAGAAGAAGAAGAATAATCACTGGGTTGTTGTGGGGAAAGTGATTTAAAATATGGTATAAATGTGTGCAGCTTTTATTATCATTTATCATTAGTGTGAAATCATTAGCAAGTCAAGAAGTAAAACAGTTCACTTAGAATTTGCCATTTGAATCTTTAATTCTAGTTGAGGAAAGGAAATGATAAATTACATTTTCAAGAAACTTAGACCTAGAATAGTTGGTTACTTGGCTCTTAACTTCAACTGATGAACGCGTAGCCAAGCTTCTGGCATTAACAATATGGTGAACCAATTAATTTAATCCAATTTCTTAAAAGTTGTTTATTTACTTATTTGTTTATTTATTTTTCTTCCCAGGTTGTTAGTCTTATTTTGGAGGAGGCTAAGAAGAATTCTTCATTTTGAAATTTCCTAGACCACTGATATCAACAATGTCATCCAGACCATTTGAGAGTCCTCCTCCGTACAGACCAGATGAATTGTAAATATCCTTCTGACATTTTTCTTATTAGCTCTCCATAGGTAGAGAGGATATGTAGTTGCTTATGTAATTAACAATAGTTGGTCAACAGAGTATGGCTCTTGCACTTAGATTTTTGACAGTTGGTACAATATAATACCTTTAATAACTTTTCTATTTAAAGGTTGATACAAATCTCCTTAATTACATTTTTGTAATTACAGATTTGTGATTTGAACTGTGTCATTATTCATTGAGCAGGATTGGATTACTATACAGTTTTCATAATGGAAACTGGAGCAATAACAGGACTGATAATGCCCTAAATTATTTCAGAAAATATATAGTTAGTGGTTTGTGCTGACCACGTAACACATGGAGTTTTCCAAGATTTCCTTGTTTCTGTTAGTTTTGTTTTTCTTTTGGGTTGATTCATGAAAAGATCATAGCATCGTAGGTTTAAAATTGGAAGCGGCATCTCAGATCATCTAGACCAACCCTGTCATTTTACAGATGAAGAAACTGAGGCCCAGAGATGTTAGGTGACTTCCCCTACGTATTTTTCTCCTGGTTCTCTTTACTTATTTAATTATTGGCACTTGTTTGTGATAAGGATAGCTGTAGATTTGAAAGTACAGACTTTGGACAGGCTGCTTAAACTCACTGGTTTGTGTGAAAATTAAACCTGAGAGACTGTAGTAACGGGTCCTGGACTAGTCTTGAGACTTAAATTCTAATCCTGGCTTTGCCGTTTAATAGCTCTGTGACCTTAGTAAGTGAGCCTTAGTTTCCTCATTTTAAAAATGGAAGTTTGAAAAAAAAATTTTAATTAATGAAAATCCATTTCCTCTCCTCCTTTTTTATTGGAAAAAGAAAAACAAACCTTTTTTTTTTTAAACCCCTTTTAACATAGTCAAGTAAAACAGATTTCCTCACTGGTCACATCCAAAAATTATATATGTCAGTCTGCACCCCAAATCTATCGCCTCTCTTTCAGGAGATGCATTGTATGTTACCTCATGGGTCATCCTCATGGTTGCTAATTGCACTGATCAATTCTTAAATCTTTCAAGGTTATTTGGCTATATAATGTTGCTGTTGTATAAATTGTTCTACTAGTTCTGTTCATTTCATTCTGAATCACTTCCTACAAGTCTTCCCAGATTTCTCTAAAACCATTCCCTTAATCATTTCTTTTTTTTTTTTTTTTTTTCTTATTCAGTGGGGTTAAGTGACTTGCCCAGGGTCACACGGCTAGTAAGTGTTATGTGTCTGAGGCCAGATTTGAACTCAGGTCCTCCTGAATCCAGGGCCCGGTGCTCTATCCACTGCGCCACCTAGCTGCCCCTAATCATTTCTTTACAATGCCAGTACATTCATGTACCATAATTTGCTTAGCCTTTCCTCCATTGATAGACACTCCCTTAGTTTTCAGTTCTTTGCCACAACAAAAAGAGTTGCAGAAAAACATTTTCGTACTGAGGTCCTTTTCTTCTTTCTTTAGGGTAATCTCTTTGGGGTAATATGGAACTTCTAATACATGACCTACTTCACAGATAGGGCTATCGGGAGGACCAAATAACATAATTGACTATACAGAATGACTTATAAAGACAAAATGCTGTGAAAATTTGAGTTATAATAATAGATGGGCCTCCATAGGACCATGAGCTAATCAACTGGGTTATGCAGATATAAAGATGCCCATTTATTTCTGAACACTAGAAATATTTTTTATTCTTTTGATATTTTGTATACTGCAAGCTCTTTCTGGCCAGGTTTTGTGTTCTTAAGGAGCACACTACCTTTGATAGCTTTGGCTCTAGGTTTTCATGTAGGTTTTCCTTCTAGTTCCTTTCTGTCCTGTATGATTTAAATGGGATTTTGCATAAATCTTCTAACTGAAAAAACATTTTTTTTTCCAAATAATATTTCAGCAAACCATCTCATTATGCACCAAGCAATGACTTATACAATGGAGAGATGCATGTTCGACCAATGCTTTCTCAGCCAGCCTACTCTTATTATCCAGAGGATGAAATACTTCATTTCTACAAGTGGACTTCCCCTCCAGGAGTGATTAGGATTTTGTCAGTGATCATTATTGTGATGTGTATTGCCATCTTTGCCTGTGTGGCTTCCACTCTTGCCTGGGACAGTGGCTATGGAAGCCCCTTTCTGGGAACTGGTCTAGGCAGCTACTACCCTTATGGAGGAAGCAGCTTTGGAAGCTTTGGCAGCTATAACTACGGCTATGGAGGAGTTTATACTGACCCAAGGGCTGCAAAAGGCTTCTTACTGGCCATGGCGGCGTTTTGTTTTATTGCTTCGTTGGTGATATTCGTGACCAGTGTTATCAGATCGGGAATATCCAGATCAAGAACATATTTCTTAGTGGTGATCATCGTAAGCGCTATCCTAGGCATCATGGTATTCATTGCCACCATTGTCTACATCATGGGAGTTAATCCAACAGCACAGGCTTCTGGCTCATTGTATTCAACTCAAATATATGCGCTCTGCAACCAATATTATACACCTATGACAACTGGACTCTATGTGGATCAATATCTTTATCACTTCTGTGTGGTAGATCCCCAAGAGGTATGAGTACAAATGACTGTATGATGTTTTTTTTTTTCCTGCATGAGTCATTAATTATTAGCTAACACAATTAACATGCATGTTTTTGGAGTGATGTGTGTAGTGTTTCTATTTTTTTTTTCCAATTAGAAATATCCCACCTTTCCTTTCACCTAAATAATTCACTCTTTTATTTATTTGGGATTTTGAGGAAGGGGAGAAGTTCAAGGAAGGGAATATGAATATGTTAAACTTTCTATAGCATCAGCCTGTTGTTTTCAAAAACAGAATATGTAATATGGATTTTATTTCTGTTGCTTATGAGGCAGGAGTAGCTCTGCTGTAGCAGAGCAGCTGATGTCCTAGAAACATCTCAATACCCCTTCCTCTTGCCCAGGGGTTCTCATGCTTGAGCCCTCCACTTAGGTGTATCCCTCTCTGTTTGACAGATATATGGTAAAATAGAAAAGGATAGGGTTTGGACCTTTGATTTCACTAATAAGATGAATTCTCAGGCCAGGAAACATCTCCCAAGGCTGATCAACAGACCCTTTCTGTAACTTAAGGTCTAGAGAGTTGCCTAGAGCACTGACCATTTAAATAACATTCCCAGAGTGACACAGCCAGTATGTGTCATAGATGGGACTTGAACCTAAGTTTTCATAGCTTTTCTCCCCTAGGCAACTCTGACTCTCTTTGAATCCTGGTTCTTATGCTTAACAACCTCTGTGACCTTGGGCAAGTTATTTAGCCTGTCTAGCCTTCAGTTTTCTTAATTGCAAGAAGAGGTTATTCAATTAGATAACTTCTGAGTTCCCTTCCATCTCTAAATCTTTGACCTTATTACAAATCAGACATGTTATAGAAAGGCTGACTATAGCCACCCTGTTCATTCAGTCATTTTTCAGTCTTGTCCTACTCTTTGTGACTGCATTTGGGGTTTTCTTGGCAAAGATACTGGAGTGGTTTGCCATTTCCTTCTCCAACTCATTTTCCAGATGAGGAAACTGAGGCAAGAAGATTTAAGTGGCTTGCTCAGGGTCATACAACTAGTAAGTGTCTGGGGCCAGATTTGAACTCATGAAGCTGAGACTTCTTGACTCCAGGCCTACTCTATCCACTGTGTCTCCTAGCTGCCCTAGTCACTGAAAAACATATCTAGTGGAAACAGTGGGCCATGACAGTGGAGTGAGCTGGTGCTCTCCCCAGTAAGAGGCTACCTTTTTGTGATGCTTGAGTTTTGAGCTGGGAACCTAGCACCCTTAACCAGTTGCTTAAATCTCAGCTGTATTCCCCATGTCTGTTGAAAAGTGAGAAGATTGAATATTTTTCAATGTAGGGTACCTGCAATAGGAGGAATGCTCATTCAGGAAGTTCATCCTAATTGGACACTGTCTTTCAGAAAGTGGAAAACTGAAAAGTCCTACCATTAAAAAATGAGGCAGATTTGTTCTTTCCATTTTGTAAATTTGGATCTTCATATAATAAATCTTCACCTAGTTAGTAAGACTGAATGAGACTATATTGTTGAATTTTTGATCATTCATAGATTGACTGGTCCTTTCTGTCATTTATGAAGAATTATTTTATTAAGCAAATAGTATAAACAAAATTATAAGTGAGCGATGCTTACTTTACTTACTTTGCCTAGGAAAATAAGCTTTAGAAGTATATATACAGTTGATTATTTACAAATGACTAATTAAAGGACAGTGAGGTGGCGCAGTGGATAGAGCACCAGCCCTGAAATCAGGAGGACTTGAGTTCAAATCCGGCCTCAGACTAAACACTTGACTCTTTCTAGCTGTGTGACCCTGGGCAAGTCACTTAACCACAAATGCCTAAAAATAAAAAATGTAAAAAAAAAAAAATGACTAATTACATACATAGTCTTATGCTTCCATTAAAGCAAGTCCTATGAATTATTGTTTGATGAAATTAATATTTAAAAAACCCATTTATTTAATAAGTATGAATTAGAGACTTTTATCATTGTTCTTAGCACATCAATAAAGGTGGATTTCCTTATTTTATGGAAATTAAATAGCTTATTTTAAATCTCCCAAACTGCCAAACAGTTAATGTTTGATTTTCTTTTAACCCTTTTTAGGCCATTGCTATTGTGCTGGGGTTTCTGGTTATTATAGCTTTTGCTTTAATAATATTCTTTGCCGTGAGAACCCGAAGTAAGATGGACAGGTATGACAAATCCAACATTCTATGGGACAAGAAAAGAGTCTATGACGAGCAGCCTCCTAATGTAGAGGAATGGGTGAGTGTAAAAGAAAATTAACACGTTTTTATTCTGGTGACCCTATTGACTTTGGTGTTCTATTTGACCCTTAGTGTGGCTTTGTTTTCCTTTGTCCTCAAAATTGTGATCAGTTTATCTTACAAACATAAGTTAATTTTTAATCATTTGAAAAGGAAATGATTGGTGTCAGTGATAACTGCCTCATTATGGTATGAAAATCCAGATTCTCGTTTTCCTTTTATAAAGGAGTAGCTCTATAAAGTGATTAGAAAAATGCTTCCAAATGAAACAAATATTTATGCAGAAAATTTGTCTGGACATGGTCTGGAAAACATCAATTTTCTCTTTCCCCTTTTATTTACAAAAATGTTTGCCAGCTTATAAAACATTTAATTCTACATATTTTACATAAAACCACAACAGTGTAAAAAGTAGTGCTACAGCGCATTCGAAGTGCATGTAGTTCCTACATGCATTTGGTTGTGGTTTTGGAAGGGGAGTTTGGAAGGGGCTGGACGAGTTTTGAGGGGAGGGCTTCGTTATTTTACTCTAGGGAAGGACAGCAATGCTGGTCTTCCCAGTTGTAGCTACCTTGGGGTATACGTGTTGACGGTGTTCTTTTCCTCCCAGCCACCGTACTCTTCAATGCCTGAAATTTCACCTTTAGACAGTATTTCTTGGGATTTCAAATTTATGATTGCATCACTCTACACTAAGCACCAAGATAGTTGCTTTTCTGCCTGTGGAGTTTTCCTAAACCTCATTGTCGACAAAGACAGGCCTGTAATCCGGAAAGAAGGGGGTGGAATTAAAAAGTTAGTGGATTGTTTTAAGAGACCGTTGGCCCTACAGATTGGCAGCTGGTCTGCTTGGTTTGTAAAACATGGAATTATAGTGAAAAATGTCCTGATTGCTTTGTCATGTTTTGGAGATGAGGACACAAATACACTCACAGTCTTATTGTCATCAGTTTTACATGAAGAACTAGCGTTGGATTATAGTTTTGACAGAGACTTAAGAGACTATCACAGACTTTATTGGGAAACAGAATTCAAGCCTGAGGCACAGCAACTTCTTTTTATTTTATTTTATTTTTTTATTTTTGGTGAGGCAGTCGGGGTTAAGTGACTTGCCCAGGGTCAGACAGCTAGTGAGTGTCAAGTGTCTGAGGCCGGATTTGAACTCAGGTCCTCCTGACTGCAAGGCCAGAGCTCTATCCAGTGCACCACCTCGATGCCCTGGCACAGCTACTTCTTAAACGTATTCAGAGCCATCACATCCTTCCTTTATCTGTTCCTTCGTTTTAATATGGTAAAAGTCAGGTAGGTGATTAACAATACAAAGATGGATTCAGGTTAGGTCTTTTCATAAAAAATAATAAATTCAAACACTTAAAGTATTAAAAAAAATAGATGTCATGAGATTATGGAAGTGTTTTTCACATAACTGGTTAAGAGTAAGATTTTCAGGTATTCAGGATAGGTGAGTTTTGGTGGGGGTATGAAGAGGGAAGGAAAGTTTGAAGGATGAGATACTCCCAAAGAGGATAAACCTTGGTGGAACCTGCTAGCACAACGAGAAAACTGGGCATCTTGGAGAGTGCCAAGAGTTGGAAGAGTGATGATGAAAGGCAGAGTAGCAGAGGACTGTCCGAAACACTGAACGGAGGAAGATGGTATTAACGGAAGCTTGAAAGTCAAGAGATTCAAGATCTTGTCCAGCCCTGCTAGAAACTCTTTTTGTGACCTTAAAGAAGTTACTTTACTGCTCTGGGACTCATTTCCTCCTTTACTTAATGAGAGAGTTGGGCTTAAGTAAACATTTAGCTCCAAAAAGTTTTGATTCTTTAGATTTTTTTTCCTGAAGGGACACTGAAACCTAAGTGGAGACTTTGCCAGTTTGTGGTACAGCATGAATGAGGAAGTCTTCCTAAGGCCTGACTGTGTGTGGCCTTTCCCTTGCTCTCTCCCCTGCGGTCCTTCCCCTCCCCCCCTTTCTAAAAAAAATTCTGTATCTTTTATTACAGCATTCTTCTTAGAGCACTGTGGTTTCATCCCTTTGTTCAGCATTTGAAAACCGTTTATTTTTTTTTCCCACCTTTTGATTCTTGCATTTGCTATAGAAAGTTATTGTGTTTTATAGAGAAACTAGTATAAGGCTACCAGGGAGTGTTTCTTTTTGACCTTTAGCTCTAGGCAAGGCCACCTGTAAGTGGAATAGGACCAGCTACTGTGAATGGCAGCTAGTGAGTGTATGAAGTAAATGTTTCGGTGACAGTTTCTGGGTGTGTCTTGTGTTTGTTTACTGGTGGTTGGTTTCAGGAGGTATGGGAGACCAGTTCCAGTTGATGAGCATGGAAGTCCCACTGAACTTTGTGCTGTCATCTGGTTTTGCTGTCATGAGAGTTTAGTCATCTGTAAGTGCTTAAGGAAATGGAGTGAAAGATGGCCGCAGTAAGATATAAGGTTGTGCGTGTTGATAGATGGCTTTTAACAAATTGGTAGGCTATTCGGTTTCCAGTGATGTTACAGGGAATGTGTTTTAAGGTATGGCTGGCTATCAGGAAATAAATCAATGTATATACCTTAAAATTCAATTTTACAAAGCAGTATCTTCACAGTGACACTGTGAGACTGATGGTGCAGACACTGATGATTCCCATTTCAAACACAAGAAATGAAGATCAATGGCTGTCATTTTAATCCATCTTTTATGCACAAGGAGAGTCATTTCTATTACTTGTTTTTTCCAGTGGGAAGTGACTTTTAGGTTCACTCTCAAAAGTCACTTTGAAATAAACATTTTAGGGGGCAGATAGTTGGCACAGTGGATAGAGCAGCAGCCCTGGAGTCAGGAAGACTTGAATTCAAACCCGGCCTCAGACACTTACTAGCTAGCTGTGTGACCCTGAGCAAGTCACTTAACCCCTATTGCCTCCAAAATTGGAAAAAAAAAAGAAATAAAATTCTAGTTTCTTCGCAATTTTTGTCAGGTATCTTGACTTGCCTGAGATGTTTACATTTTGAGAAGTTAATTTTCTCAAACTTGTTTTACTTATATGTGAGTTTATTTCTCAATTTCAGATTAGTCATTGCTCTTCTTCACTGTTAATGTGGCCTGGTCTTCATTCAGGCAGCTAAGTGGCGCAGTAGGTAGAGTGCTGGGCCTCTGGTCAGGAAGACCCGAGTTCAAATCGGGCCTCAGACACTTATTGACTGTGACCCTGGGCAAGTCACTTAACCTCAGTTTCCTCATCTGTAAAACGAGCTGCCCGAGGAGGTGGTAAACCACTCCAGTATTTTTGTCAAGGAAATGTGACCCCATTTGGGGTCACAAAGAGTCAGATAAGACTGAAACAACTGAAGAGTCTTCATTTAGTGCTGGTACTGCAGTAGATAGAAGGAACTTGTTGGTTTCTGAAGTGAAAATAATACTACATTCAACAAATATTTGCCATATACACCATGTGCAAGGTACTATAGTAGGCACTGGGAATATAAAAATGAATGAGACGAGACCTGATAACTTCATTATTGGGAATATAATCTGAGCATGTATTGAAAGGGTAGGTATTTGGGGCAGCTAGGTGGCATAGTGAATGGAGCACTGGCCCTGAAGTCAGGAGGGCCTGAGTTCAAATCTGGCCTCAGACCAATCACTTGACATTTACTAGCTGTGTGACCCTGGGCAAGTCACTTAACCCCAATTACCTAAAAAAAAAAAAGGTAGCTATTTGTTCAAAAATTTTTGTTGAGCATTATTTGTAATAATAAAACAACTGGAAGCAAACTAAATGTCCAACAATGAGAGGGATGATTAAATTGTGGTATTTTGATGGAATAAAACACTATAATGTAGTTAAGATTAGCAAGTATAAGAATATAAAGAAATAAGGAAAAGTTTATGAAAAGACCTTAATGAAATAAGAATATACTTTAGGATCATGCAAGAAGAAAAGTGAATGAGAATGAATGGACAAATCACACTGTTGGTAATTTAGAAAATTATTGAAAAGTTAGGAAAATTTACATGTTTAAATTTATTCATTTAAATGAAAATCATTGTATTGGTATTGAGAAGTATTTGTGATTACTAAAACAAAAATAAAGGTGGGAATCCCCATATTCCCAAGAGAGACAGTGTGCTATTTATTTAGTCAATGGTGTACTGAATTTGGATTCAGGATGACTTAGTTTCCTATCTATCTTGGATATTTACTAGCTGTGTAACCCTGAGCCAGTCATTTAATCTTTCTGAGTCTTGTTTACTTATGTGTAAAACGTAGGCGATAATTGCACTAAAAGGGTTGTTGTGAGCATCAAATAAAGAGTTTAAGTATGGTCTAGTAGAAGAGAGAACTATATGTATGTGTGTATGCATATATATACGTATATAGGGTTTTAATACCAGAGTGTGATGATGCAATACAAAAGTTTTAAGATTCTATGAGAGTTTAGGGGATACTGGTTAAGGAAAGCCTGATGGAGAAGGTAGCAAATGAGCTAAGCATTGGTTACAACAGACTGATGAATAGTTAAGGTGGGGGAAATATTCTAGACTGAAGGAACAGAAAAAGCAAAGTAAAACCCTGGGATTAGGAGACTTGGTGTAGAAATGTTTTGTTTGGTCATATGACATGTGAAAGGGAGGTAAAGGTGAATTGGTAAGTTGGTGAATTACAAAGGATTTTGAACTTAAACGTCATTTATTGAGCTTGGGGGGACACATTTTTAAAATGGGTGTTTTTTGGGTGGGTGGGGTGTGGGGAAGTGACCAATGTGAGTTAAGACCTATATTTTAAAAAGAGTAATCTGTCAGTAGTATATAGATCATACTGGAAAGGAAACAAGACTGGTGATGCTGTTGAAACAGTAATATAATAAGAGCTGACATTTAAATAGTGTTATTAGATTTGTACAATATTTTACATGATTTTTCTCGTTGGAGCCTCACAGCAACCCTATGAGTTAATTATTACTAGTTATTTACCCATTTCACAAATGAGGGCACTGAGCCTC